GAAAATTATTATAAGCTAGTATGGAAGTGGTACTTAACACCGGTAAGAATAGCATACATGAATAAGAATAATTCAATAAATTGTTGGAGAGGGTGTCAAGAACCAGGAACATATATACATATGTGGTGGCAATGTAAATATGTAAATAATTTTTGGGAGAAAGTATTTAGAGAAATAGAAATTATAATGAATATGAAAATAGATAAAAGTCCTAGTATAGCCTTACTATCATTATATACCAATAAGCAATGGAAAAAGGAGGATAAAGAAGCGATAACAAATTTACTAACTATAGCAAGACTGCTCATAGCAAGGAATTGGAAAAAAGAAATGAATATACAAATAGAGGAGTGGTATAAGGAAGCATGGAAATTAGCTTTAAACGATAAACTGACATGTATATTAAAGGTTAAAAAAGGTATATGGAAACAAAGTGATTTTGATGCTATATGGGGGAAATTTGTGATAAATGGATTAAAAAATAAGGAAGGAAAATTACCGTCACAAGAAGAAATGAAATTTTGGACTGATGAAATGTAAGAAATGTGGCTTGAAACGGGTGGAGGGGAGCACGGAGGTGGGGAAAAAAAAAAAAAGAGAAAAAAAAAAGGGGAGGAATGTCAAAGCAAAACAACAAAATAACATGTTAAAGAGGTTGATGTAGAAAATGCAATAGTATGTAATAATTGTGATAAACTAATAAAAACTTATTAAAAAAATAAAAATAAAAATAAAACCAATTCCCTTGGTTGCTATCCGTGTGACCTAGAATAACAGCTGTGGGTTGAGCATCGTTAGGACTTGTGGTGGCATGCAGTTGCATGCAAATCTTCTTGGATCTTCCTCTGTAGGTGGTGTGTGATTTTCCTATGATTCTCCATTTCAGAGTGCTAAACTGCCTCACTGTATTTATACAGGTGGAGTTTAAATGATATTTTGGAGCATGATTTATGAAATTCGATTAACATATAAATTAATATTCTGATACAACCGGCACCATTCTTTTTAGGACAAAGGCAAGTTTTAGGTCATCAACATCTTATTTAATTGTGACATTATTCAGACTAAATTATAAAGGTGAAAAGATAACATCATTCAAGAAGCGGTGTCCCTTTTTGAACCTTCATTTTTCACATGTTGCTTGTTGTAAAAACATGCAACATATTTGACTATATTCATTCTAGTGTTGAAAGACCAGAATTGGTCTTTCTTTTGTACCCTTGGGCAACTACTTAACTATTACATTCTGTCCTGTTTACAGTTTGCTGGATGATACTGAAGAAAGTGCTCTCTCTTGTGGTGGAGATTGTGTGGGTGGAAGATGGGGATTATTTTCTTAATTGTCTATTTATTTTAACATATAGCTTGCCCTAAAATCTGGCGAGGTCTATTGCATATTACAAAGCTTGCCTTGTCTGTACTTACTCCCTTTTCTTGGTTTTGCCTTGTTTTCCCTTAATGAATTTTAGGTTTTTAGTTTCAGTGTTCTGAACATTCTTGATGTCACATTCTTACATTGATGGATTTGTGTAACATTGTAAAACTTGCCCTTAAACAACTTGTTTTGGACTTAAGATAAATTGTTACATTTGTGCATACATAGCATGGATGAGGACAATGTGGCTGAGAAAAGGGTTTCTCTTTTAGGGATATTGCTTGGAATAGTTGTAAGCAAATTCTACTGGAGGTTTATTCATTGCTATAGAAAATATTCTTAGTATAGTGAAATAGTACTCAAATTTGAATAATATGTACAAGAGAATATGGTGTTTTCAAATAGCCGTGCCTCACCTGCACCTCCAGGTACTGTACTAGTGCCAACGTACAGAAACACCTGACACATCAGCTTGCTTTTAATCAGACTCATATTTTTTATCTGAAATTAGTAAGGTTAAATATTGTCATTCCTTAATATTTTTTTGAGAACCAGTGTGGTATAGTGGTTTGAGCAGTGGATTACAACTCTGGGAGACCAAGTTCACATCTGTGCTCAGCCAAGGGACATGGCACATGCTCTCAACGTCAATGGGAGGCAAAAAGCAACCCCCCTCCCCTGACTACATCTCACCCAGTAAACCCTGTGATAGGTTATCCTTAGGATTCCTATGTTTTGGAAATTACTGGATACACTCAATACAAACAATGTTGTTTTTGTTTTTTTACAATTTGGCTGCCTTTGTAACCATTTCAAGAAGCACTACTGGAAGTCAAAATAAACAGAAAGGGGTGGAGTATAAATATAAAATAAGGGTCATGCAATCTTAATATATCATGCAGGTACCAATTTTCTTGCCTTCTCATCTGTATATGCACATGTTTATCTCATCTCAGATTCTTCTCCCTGTCTTGGAAGCATATTTTAGAACTTATGTGCTTTTTTCATGTCATGAGTGACTTGAGAAACTGCAAGTTGCTTCTGGTATGAGAGAATTGGCCATCTGCAAGGACGTTGCCCAGGGAATGCCTGGATGCTTGATGTTTTAACATCCTGTAGGAGGCTTCTCTCATGTCCCAGCACAGGGAACTGGAGCTGACAGAGGGAGCTCAACCTGCTCTCCTCTGATTCGAACTGCCAACCTGACCTGCTGGCACAAGAATTTATCCCATTGTGCCACTGGGGGCTTAATATATGCTCATTCTTCTAGGTATCCAAGCACTACATCAGCCATGTGCCACAGCCAAATACATTGTCTAACTTGATATGCAACATGGTAGCAATAGAATAAAATGGCCAATTATATGTTTGGGATAAGACAATAAAATTTTCTTGGATAGAAAGGAATCTTAAACTAAAGGTGTTTCCGCCAGGGGCATTAGAAATGTGTGGTTGGACCTGTTGCTAAGGTGCTAAATGCATATTGGTACATATGGACTTATTTGTGTTGTTCTTCTGTTAGATTTCTGTTTTTATTTTAGTGTTAAGTACTGGTATGGTGAATCCACAATAATCCCATGCAGTAATGCACTTTTTTTTCATTTATGGCTTATTGAAAAAAAAAATCTCATGTTGTATTCTAGAATCAATAATAATACAAAATAAGTAATTCCAGAATAGTTGGAATAGTAAATTTCTGCATGGCTACCCCAAGGTCTCTTCTGAATATAGCGTAAGGCGTGAGGCTCTGAGTCATACCAAGAAGGGGCTCTACTCTCCCCTGCTAAAGAGGCCGGTTGTTCTGCGGGGGCGAGGCTTCTTGAGTCATGTCGTATGGTTTGTCCTGGCAGGAGCTCCATGGCTATAAATTGGGTTGGACAACTACAGCAGCCAGAAAAGCAGGAAGAGGGAATCTTAGGAGTTATTTAAGTTTTAAAAGGAACTATTACAGCCACTCTCTATCTTGGAGTGTGAGTGTGGTGGAAGCTCCTTCCTTGAAGGCTTTTAAACAGAGACTTGGTGGCTATCTGTCATGGGGGTTCTTTGATTGTGCTTTTCCTGCGTGGCAGGGGTTAGACTAGATGGCCCATGTGGTCTCTTTCAGTTCTATTGTTCTATGATTCCAGGGTGTTCAGAACTGAATGAGAATCTTTAGGCTTCACAAGTACATTTCACATTCCATATATTGTGATTCTTCAACAGCTTTGACCACATATATGACAGCTGAGGACTTGTGCTTCTATTCTATGGTTCTATTGCTTTTATATGGTTTATATTATATGTAATGTTTTTAACTGTATTTTATGTTGTTGGGGACATTGACTACTGACTGTAAACCACCTCGAGTCACCTCCGGGTTGAGAGGGGTGGTATACAAATATAGTAAATAAATAATAAATAACTATAAAGTGCAATTTGAAAGAAAAAGGACTAAGAAAGTGATATTAAGTTGCCTATGTTTCTGGTCAGTAAATATAGAAAAAATGCAATGCATACAATGAACAGATAAGTTCCATCAATAATTGTAAAAAATAAATTAATAAATGAAGACATACTGGTCATTTGTCCATTAATAGAAATTAAAGCTGATGTTCAGGTAAAGGGTGCATCTACACTGTGGAATTAATGTGGTTTGACATCATTTTAACTTCCATGGCCTAATGCTATTAAATCCTAGAAGCGGAGTTTTACAAGCTCTTTAGTCTTCTCTGCCAAAGAATGCTGGTGCCCCACCAAACGACAACTCCCATTGTTCAATTGAGCCTGGCAGTTAAAGTGGTCCCAAACTGCATTAATTCCAGAGTGTAGATGTACCTTAGAATATATGTGCTTATTTACTTTGATAGACAGAAGACAGCATCATTGGTGGCTTTTACTTAAAAACTGTCATTTTGTTAACTCTTCCCTTTTACTTTAATGTGAATTGTATCATTAATGATACTGAAGCTGATCTAATTAAGTGAAAACCAGAGACTTTGGCTGAGAGAGCAGCATAAATGACTGCAGGAATATATCCTCAAAAATATTTATGTTCTGATGGCTTTTAAAGTGACATTGTCCTGAGCAGTGTGTGTGCCTCTGAGTGAAAGGAGGGAGTTTCCTGCTTTATAGCCCTTGTAGTTGGGCTGGGCGTTCCCCTTTCTGCTCTCCCCACTCCCCCTCCCAAGGAGTGTCCTTTGTGTAACCCCAAGTAATTCAGAAAAATCTCTCTGCTGTAATGGGGACTGCCCTGTCATGTGACGGAGGCAAGGAGTTGCAGCCGATGATTGGGCCAGAGCTAATTGGCGGCTCTGTATAAGTACTCCTTGCCTTGGAGTGGGTTGAGGCTTTACTCATTTCCATTGCTGCCTTGCCTGTAGGTTGTCATGCTGAGGCCAGCGGTGATTCAGCAACATGTGATGAAGTGGAGAGCGCTGGGCTTGACTGAGCCAAGCAAGGGATAGACAATGAAACCAGCTGCAGCCAATGTGGATTAGTGAGCGTCTCCTAGGAGTTGGGGAACTGTCACTTTAAAATTGTTTACCCGTTTCCCAAGGCTGCAGTTCAGAATCTTTGACAGCAACTTGTTTGAGCTTATTTTCTTTTCTCATTACCTTATGTTTTTGTTTTGTTTTTTAAATCACAGGGATAATACTTTACTCTGGAAGACGGCTATGATGGGGAAAACCCTTTCATCTGACAAAAGCGTTTTGCCATACAACTAATCAAAGGATTTTCTTTAGTTAAAGGAAGTTGTAAAACTGATCACCGGGAAGTATGAGTTACTTGGAATGGGTAAGTGTGAAGTAGTAATACATCTCTTATGCTACAGAGCTTTATTCAGTCTAGACACATTAAGAATAATTCCCCAAATAGTAACTAAAATGTGAGAATACTACTTATTACTTTAATCTTTTGTGACAAAAGATTCAGAGAAGGGTGTTTCAATGGTTATAGAGTCATGAGAATGAAAGGGAGAGAAGATAAACTAATCAGAAAAGGTTTTTGTTTTAGAATAAATTATTTTCTCAATTTTCTTCCTTTTGTATCAGTGGTAAATGGACTAGTGTTTGATTTTTGTTTGATTTTGTCTTTTTTTTTTTACTACATGACTTAATTTGTAATTATTCTTCTCAGGAAGTTAAAGGCTCTCTTTTCAAGCCTGTTATTTCATGGGCAAACTTGGCCCTCCAAATGTTTTGGACTTCAACTCCCACAATTCCTAACATCCAAATTGTGGGAGTTGAAGTCCAAACACCTGGAGGGCCCAAGTTTGCCCATTCCTGTATTATTTCTTCTTTCTACTCATCTTTGGCATCATATCTACTGGCAAGAACATACTTCCAGAACTTCAAATGTCATTCTATCACGCATTAACATAATATGTAATATAATATTATATATATATATATATATATATATATATATATGATTTTTTTTATCATTCTCCACTTCTTCCTTATGACAATATTTCTCTCAAATTCATGTTTTAAAATTTGATTTTTTGCATCCATGAAATGTAGACTAACAGAATTTTTCACAAAAAGCCCTTTAAAAAGTACTTTTTAGGGTGCTTCCCCATATAATAAAACTGTCGTGAGCTAAGAGAATTTTTTTTCTGTATTAGTCATACTTCCTTCAATTAGCTCATTTTCAGATTCTCTTTTTGAATATGTTGCATTGAAACAAATAGAGGAAACAATTCGTTTATAGTCAATGAAACTTAAGTGTGTCGTGAATCAGAAAAAAAATTCCAGTGAATTTCTCCATAGTAATAACTTTCTTTTCACTTTTAATGAGTGTTTGACTATAATAACATAATTGCTGCTCTGCCTTGGATAAAGACTGATATGATTTGCTTATCTCTTAACCAGTTTTTCCTCCAAAAACCCCTGTCCCATCCACTGCTATTATGTTTTTATTGTTAACAGGTTGTTTTAGGGATGTTTGAAACTGATTATAGAAAGCATTTAACTTCTGTTCTGTGATTTCTTTTAATGACTTTCAAACTAGTCAAAATACTTTGCTAGGGAACAACTTTTTAAAACAGTGCTTTCAGTAAAAACTAAACTTTGCTATGTAAATAAAACATACTGTAAAAACAAGCAGGAAATGCTCAGTAAGAGGAGTGATAAAAGAATAGTATTTCAGATAAGCATGTAGTTTAACAGTACCTTGGGAAGGATGTAAATTCCACCTTGACAATCACTCTAGTTTTAAGGTGTGTCTAGTGAACACCTGGGGAAAGGCTACCTGATAAGCAAACTATTTGGGAGCAATTTCCACTTGGCAACCAAAGAAACAAAAGTAGTTTTCCCTCTATGTCTAGCTACCAGGTATTAAAAGAGTAAGATAGTTTGTTTAATAAATGCATACTATGATCTCGATGTGAAAACTACTCCAAACATCTTCTCGTGGTTTTATTATAAAAAGAAAAGAGGGGGATTGGAATCCAGTATCACCTGTATGAGTTACTCATTTATTTTAGCCTTAGCTTTGGTGGGTTTCTACCCATTTCTCCAAGTACACTGGTGGAATAAATCTCCAAGCCTCAAGCCACAGAGAGAGGCGGGTAATAAATTGGTGGTAGTGGTTGTTGCTGTTAGCCACAAATATTTAAGCACAGGTACATAGTTATGGGGGTGGAATCACAATGTCATTTTCAAGTAGGAGTAAAATTTAATTTCATGTTCTGTAAAGTTATGTTCACTGATCCTAATTGTTAGCTGCTCACATTTCTATTGTGATTTAATCACATTCCACTTCATGATCTCCAAAGCTTAACCTGGTAAACATTTAAAGCTGCCTTAATTAATTGGGCTAATGAGGGGAACCTCTGAAAATTCTGGATGGAGGATCATAATTTAAAATGTTTTCAGCAAACTTATGTTCTTCATTTATATGAGATCAGGAAATGAAGTACAAAAGTATCAATGGGGTAAACCAGAATGCTGAATTGCACTGGTAGGAATATTGAACTTGATTGGATGTGACAAATGAACTATATTCTCTCATACTTCTTCTGTAACTGAGAGTAGTTCTGCTTATAGAGTAGCTAGTAAAAAGTAGATCTCGACTGAGATAATCTAGTAATTATTAAATGAAACTTTAGGCATACCACCTGAGATTTATATGGTGGATAAGAAGACTCTGGAATCTCTGGAATCTGTGTAGATCAGTAGTTCTCAACCTGTGGGTCCCCAGATGTTTTGGCCTTCAATTCCCAGAAATCCTAACAGCTGGTAAACTGGCTAGGATTTCTGGGAGTTGTACTGTAGGCCACAACACCTGGAGACCCACAGGCTGAGAACTACTGGTGTAGATTATATTCTTATCCTTTGTAAATATATATATATATATATATATATATATATATATATATATATATATATATATATTCTGATTAGCCTATAGTATTTAATTACTCAGCCATCAAAAAAGGTGCCAACAGTCATTTTTGCCTGTCATATTTCTGAATGTGCAAATTATGTCTTCAATGTTTTGTTTCACATCCATAGTATGGTTACAGAAGACTGTTGTGTGAACCAAGCTTGATAAAACCACTTTAGTGCCTCTTGGTATTTCTAACCCCTTTTTTCCTTAAACCTTTTCCCAACCTTTGGGCCTCTGGATGTCTTAGGCTTCAGCTCCCACAGTTCCTAACAGCTGGGATTTCTGGGAGATGAAGTCCAAAACACTTGGCAGGCCAAAGTTTGCCCATGCCTGGTCTAACCTAACCCTTTTCTCATTAACACCTAACTCTCCTCTCTCTTCTACCTTAAATGTGTTAATGTTTTAAGCTGTGTAGATGCTACTCCTTGATCTATGGTGGAGAAAACCATTGCAGAGCAACTTCTCTACAGTTCCATTGTTATTGTGATATCAGTTTTCTATCAAGATCTTTGTTATGATAACTTTTCTATTAATTTATTTTCACTTGGTTACTTGTAGATTTGAAAGGGACTCCTCAGATACTGAAGACATTATTTGATTTTACACATTCAAGAGCAAATGGTTGAAAAACCTGCAGATGGCCAATTCTCTCACACCAGAAGCAACTTGCAGTTTCTCAAGTTGCTCATGACACAAATAAAATGTTTTAAAATACTACCTTGTTTTAAACATATACTTCATAATAAACATACCCAGACACACTTACTCTCTTAATTATTTTGAACTTCAAGATGTTTAAATATTATCATCATTATCATTATTATATTTATTTATACCCCGCTTTATCTCCCCCAAAGGGGACTCAAAGCAGCTTAACATGAAAGCATCAGCATAACTATTTAAAATATACAAATATGCAAACATTAAAACAGGTTTAAATATAAACAGTATTTAAAAAATCTCAGTTAAAAACCATTAAAACAAATTCAAAGTTAAAAACCACAGTTTTTATGTGATTTATGTTTCTATAAACATAAATCTAATGTAGGAAGGGATCCTTTGGCTTTAACTGTACTAAGATAGGCAATAGAAGTAGAAGAAACCACATTCATTATGACCCTGATTTCCATAAGGGATGGGTTCCAAGACCTGCCTTTGGAAACTTGAAACCAAAAAAACCCCTACATTTTGTTTGGGCCAGAAGCATACCATAGAATTGCACTGAGGACCTAGGGTCCTTCCACACAGCTCTATATCCCAGAATATCAAGGCAGAAAATCCCACATTATCTGAGTGTGGACTCGGTTAACCCAGTTCAAAGCAGATATTGTGGGATTTACTGCCTTGATATTCTGGGATATAGGGCTGTGTGGAAGGGCAAATAGCTTTGGAGCATGGATGTGTGAAACTCTGGCATTCCCAGAAGGCATAATCAAATGGCTCTGTGTAGGAAAACCCCAGCCAGTTTAAAAATGGTGGGAGCTGAAGTCCAAAACACCTGGAGGACCAAAGGTTGGGAACCATTGCATTAGAAGCATATATTACCCACTGTTGCATTATTTACATTCAGGTGGGTGGATTTTAAAAGCAAGGAAATGTGTGTAAGCATTTGTAGATGTCAACATGCATCATGTCTGCTTACATTCTAAAAGCTAAAGAATTCTCAAAATTGGTGTAGTGGTTTGAGTTTTGGACTAGGTGGGAGACTGGGTTTTGAATGCCTGCTCAGCATGGAAATCCATTGGTTGATTCTGGACAAATTGTAGCCTCAGCCTCAGAGGAAGGCAAAGGCCCTTCTGAGCAAATTCTGTCAAGAAACTTCCCAAAATAGGCTAGCATTAGGCTTATCATAGGAATAGAAATGAATGTACACAACAACATAGTTACTCCATTTTAAGTCATAAGTGTTGTTCCCCAAAACTTAAATAGTCCAAGTAGTTGATCAGTGATGGAAACCATTACTGGAAAGATAATGACTATCGTGAACTGGATTTTGGGCTGCATCTCTGTTCATAATTTCTGTGGATGAATTATTTATAATATATAATCCCAGTGTGTATCATGGGATTTACTTCAGAGAAAACATATATTAGATAGAATTTGTTTGTTAATAACTAAACATCAGTTGATATTATTATGCAGAGAATTGTTTAGTCTTGCAAACAAATTGTCTGTAAAACACAAAGCCACCTAAGACTGTAGTCCTAAACATGCATACTTAGAAGTTCTATCCAGGCTCTCCGTCTTATACTTGATTTACAGCATGGGATTGTAATGGTGTAATTTTACAATTTCTCAAGTAATTCAAATCTTTAATGGTCTTAGGGTTTGGTTTTCCACAGAGCCTCAAACATATACTCTGGTACAGCTGTAGAAACTGTTACCTACACTTCTGTTTTCCA